TGTATCAGGTAATTCATACATATAACACTCAATCAGTTTTGAGTAATGAATTATTTTTTATTTCATAGGCACAAAAATGTTCATCAAAACCTACAGTCAACATTAGCTTTATCTATACTATAAGAGTCTGCTGCACAAAATAGTACTGGTTGGACCTCTCTTTCCCACAACAATTTGATTGATAACGTTGTCTCTTTTCAACATAAAGTGCATGTGCACAAATCAGCAGTGCAGCCAACTGTGTTTTTAATTATTTACATTTTATCACTCAAAGGAAGATCGGGCTCCTTGACATCGTTCGAAGGTACATAATATGAGGCGCGTTTCTATGTTGAAGTTTAAAAAAAATAATCTTTTGCACGGGCTACGCCGGGTGGGACAGCTAGAATTAAGTAAAAAAGACAAACTTGGCATAACATTGATACTTTAGAGTTAAATCATACACTTATGTACACACTGCACGGGATTCGTGATCTACCACAGGTAGATTGCCTATACTTGATAATGTACTGTTGAGAATCAGAATTTTTATTCGGGGCAACTGAAAAGTTGAACACCACAAAGCTGAACTTGAACACCACACACCGAATATTAAATAACGAATTGTGCACGAAGTGCACGGGATCAGCTAGTTATAAAATAAGGAACTCTGGTTTCATTGACCAACATTTTATATATTTCCCCAAATACATCAGCAGCAGAATTTATTTCTAAAACTAAAAGCATATCTTTTTTATACATCAAACCTTTATATTCCAACCAAACTGGAGAGAATGAATTACATATGAAGACGTGGGTGCAACAACCAGACATCTCCATATTATGCAAATGTTCAGGAGAGACAAAATAGTATTTTAAAATATTTCTAAAAAATGTAATTGAAATCCAATTTTGGCCTTATAATTGATGCCAACACCCAAATTGTCAAAAAAAAAATTCTCTACTCACAAAACCAACAACAATTTGGAGATGTCTGGTTGTTGCCAGATGTCTAGGTTTATGTAATATGAAAAGTTCTTTGGCAGTGGAATGAACTGATATACTTGCATACAATCCATTTTTAGTATACTCCATAAATCGGTATGATAAAATAGAAAAATGTTTCGCTGTTTTTTTAAAAAAAGGTTTTGTATGATCTGTATAGTTCAGTAGTGTATCTTGTTTTATATCTATAACATTAAAGCTTTTGCTTGTATCTTTGACAAGTTGTTGGTAAGTGGCTGGGTAAAAAAACATATTCTAATTTTATTTTATTTTTTTCGATTAATGCTTATTAACTATGTCCAGGTTGTGGATATCGATGTACTATAGTTTTTACATACAAAAATATGATTTGCCTGTTTTCCCTGATGGAATGCAAAAATTGTATACCCATAGCTGCCTTTTATAATAAACATCTCCACTTGGTATTTGGGGCAGTGGCATATTTTGTTGAAAATCAAATGATAAAACTTTACATTTGTTGTTTGTATCCTTGGATTCTCTAGTTTTTTCCTTTAAATCTTTATAAAATACTTCAGCTTTAGAGAGGTGTTATTGTTTTTCAGTCTGTAGTTTATTTTTTAATTCATCTTTGATTTCCACTTTAATTAAATTCTGAAGCTTATCACATACCTGACAGGTGTCAGTACGTGGATAGCCAAAAGAAAGTTTAAAATTAGTTAAAAAGTATCTTCGATTTTCTTGCATTTTTGGTAATTATTAAAGAATTGTTCATGTTGTAGCTTTTATTCAAAATTATAAAAATTTTAATACAACTTATATATTTTTATGATAGAAAAAAAAGTTCGAGAAAAAATTATTTAATACATATTAATAATTAAATAGAAATAAAAATATATAATTAAAAGTAGTTCGTAAAAAATGATCAAACAAAAATATTTTATTGTTAAATAGTAATTTTTAGACATAATATGTTTTAATTGCTCTGTGTCTCTGTATACTCAAATTTACTCACTATAGGTAAATACATGTGATAATTAACTTAGATACCTATAGTTATAATAATAATAAATAGTAAAATATTTTTTTGTTAACCTTTTACTTACTAACTTATTTTAATATAATAATTTAATATACAAGTACTTTTAAAATACACTTTATTAATTATGATAATGCTCAGTGCTTTTAATAATTATGTAACATATAGGTACAATATACCATTCTAATAAATTATTTTTTTTTTAAACTATTTTTTCCTAGGATTTTTTTCCTTGGACTTTTTTTCTACAACCTTTTTATCATTTACCAATTTTACAGTGACTTGTATTCAAAAACGGTTTTACTTGCCTAGTTTCAGTAGTAAGTTCTATATTCTTCATAATATCATCTATCAAAACATTTTCGGACACTAGTAAATATGTTTTTTCCTGTTACAATTAAAATAAAAGAATAATGAATAAGTAGTGAATATTCTTCATTTTTTTAGAATATTTATATTATTGTCATTTTTATATCTGTTTATATAATTACCTGATCATCGCAGCTTTTGATCTATATCAATTTTTTCAATCTTGATTGTAAATTGTTCAATCGATGTTTTTTTAACCTAGGTGCACTTAACTTACACCTATCTTTTCGCCCAAAACGCCAGTCTTTACTCTTTACCCATTATGTAAATGAATGAAAAAAAGCACAAACCACCGGAAACTCACAGACAACTTTACTGATCAGAGTGTACTAGTGTAGTGTTCAAATGATAAAACTATAATGATTATATAATGATTCAAACTATTCATAGGTAGTATATTATACTCGTATATTGGTTTTTTTTAATTTTGGGAGAATAATGAATATTATTATTATTGTTGCCTATTAATTATTCTTATATACCTATCCAGTAATTCTTATCTGCTAATTGTTTCCGAGAATCGCTGTCGTCAAGTCGGGCAACCGCGCCGGAAACAACTCTCACACGCGCACGCACATGTCAATATAGCGCTTATTTATGAAATATATTTTTGTTTGCATGACTATAAGGGTCGCGTCACACTATCGCGGTTGCACCGCGCGGTAGCTACCGCGCGGTTTCGTTCATAAATATCATCACATGTGTATTTATGGAACGTGACACACTTGGGCGTTTCCACCGCGTTCTACCGCTAGCCACCGCACAACGCCGTTGCGTGTCGCGGTTTGACGGCAGCGCCGCTAGAACTATTTTCAACCGCTCAAAATAAAAACCCATGGTTTTCAATCACATGCACCACACTACAGCGGCAGCAACGCGCGTTTTCAGTGTAAAATATACGTATATTAGCAATTTATTCAAAATGAGTTTTTTCGACACTGAACTTTTTATTGTGGAAGTCGAAAAAGAAGAGTGCCTTTGGAAAATGAATTCCAAAGAGTATATGGTGGACCGCTATGTTAAAGCAAAAGCCTGGGCCAAAATTGCTTCAAACATGTATGATGAATGGGAAAGTTATAACAAAGAAGAACAAGAACTTAAGAGTAAGTTTAAAATTTTTATATATTTATTTTTTATTTTTTATATACATATATTAGGTATTACTTATCCATGTAATGACATTACAATTAGTAATTATAATATTATAATTTGTTAGTTATTAAACTGTATACTAAATATTAATAAGAAATTTTATTTAAAAACAATTTAAATGATACGGGGTTGAAAAGTAACTGATCCAGCGTTTAAAAAATATTCAGCAAAGTAATCGCGAACATCAATTCCTTGATGGCGAGCTCCTGCATTCCCGTAGTTTTGAATACCCTCTAAAGGATTACTAAGTGTATATTCAAAAATATATCCGTCTCTTCTGCGCACATAATTATGAAGAATACAACAAGATTTCACAATAATATCCGTAAAATCAGGCTCAACTAGTATTGGAGTGTGCAACACTCTCCATTTATTAGCGAGAATACCAAACGTACATTCCACTATTCGTCTGGCTCTCGACAATCTGTAGTTAAATATTCTCCGTTTATCTGTGAGTCCACGTCCCGGATACGGTCTCAGTAAATTTTTATGGAGGCCAAACGCTTCATCAGCGACTATAACAAAAGGCTGTGGGGAATCCGTGGTATTGGGTAAACAAGTTGGTGGTGGCAGATTAAGTTCTTCAGAATAAAGTTTTTTTCCAAAAGGACAATCTTTAAAAACTGTAGAATCACTCTCTCTACCATAGGCACCAACATCAATAGTCGTAAAACAATAATCTGCATCGACAACGGCCATTAATACAATCGAGAAATACTTCTTGTAATTGAAAAACATAGTTCCCTCATTTTTTGGATTGATACATCTAATATGTTTTCCATCAACTGCT